CAACGACGCGCGCGCGATAACAATACACACACACACACACACACACACACACATACTCGGCTCTCTTTGCCTTTCTCATACCCGCTCTCATTCACTCGCGCTCGCTCTTCTCTCGACGCCGGGAACCCTCTCCGTCTCTCTCTCTCTCTCTCACTCCCTCACCCTTCGATCCGCGCCACCCTTCCTTCCTTGTGCGCCGAGGGCGCGGAGGGAGCCCACCGAGGGGGAAAATCGATCCTCGGCGATGTCCTACCCTAACCCCAACCCCTCGGCCTCGCCGGGTGTGCATACACGCCCCTCTCCGGCACCCACTTTCCGATCCGGGTCATGGGTCACTGCCACCGCTCGCTCGCCCGCTCGCTCGCTCTCTCTGCGCCCGCCGTCAATCGAGGGTTTAACACCGGCGTGCGCTATTATCGCGAAAAACGCGAAGGAGATACGCTCGCTTTTAACGAAATATTTCCCCGCGCGCCCGCTCTCTCTCTCTCTTTTTTAATTAAAGGTGTCCGCGTATATTGAGAGAAACGGCAGCGAGCCGTAATAAAAATTATTAAACTGCGAAACAGTAATTTTGCAGAATATTTAGCTGTACGGGAGCAGCCCCCTCCCCCCCCCTTTTCCCTCCCGAAAGCAGAATTGTGTGAGTCCGGAATTATACGCAAGTTAATGCACAAACATCGAGCATTGTCTTTTTTAAATAACATACTTTTTTTTAAATCGCAAATCCTTTTGGCTAAAAATCCAATACTTTCGAAACTCTTATCGCGAAATTGTGTTATTATCGGAACGTGGAATTATACCCGAATAAATGCGCGAAATATTATTATATTGAAATAATGCCTTTTCAGATTATCGTAAAATACTTTCGGTTCAAAATGCAGTTACAATACTTCGGAAGCCCTCATCATAGAATTGTATTGCTATCACAATACGTCAAAAACGAGCGCCACGAGTTCTCCCGATCGCTTTGTTCGCGTATACGTTTGGAAAAAAAGTACGCGATGAATTTTTCGATAGCGCTCGCGAATATAAGGAAAAAAATATCCGCGCGCCCGCGTGTGTGCGAGTGTATGTGCACGGAGCGTACAAGCTCGCGGAAAGGTAGGTCATGGAATTGGCGCGCTCCGACAGAAATGAGGCTATCGACCTCCAGAGAATTGAAAGAGGAAGGAGGTCGTGACCCACTGGCTGCTGCTGCAGAACGATTTTCTCGTTATCGCGCCCGTGTTAACCCTCCGCCGAGACCTTGAGGTGAGCGAACGTGACAACGTCGTTTCTCCGACAACGATCCGTGCCGGCCAGCTCGTTATCCGAAACGTACGATGTCGGCGAAAAGGAAAGAGAAAAAAATGTCTCGAACTCTCGATGCGTGCATTTCGAGTTCGTCGAGGCGACTTTTTTCACACCGCAAAGAGACGAGCGACTGGGTTTTCTCGTCATTGTTAATGTTAATTAAACACGGCGGGAAAAATCAGAACGGACCGCAAATTTACCGTCGCGTTACTC